CTTTTAAAGAATTGGTTGTGAGTGAAGTAAGTTAATTAAGTAAAATATTATCTTATTAGGTTCTCTAATAAAGTATGCTAATCATATTTTTTTTGCTAGGTATCTAAAGCAGACGCTGACTCGGATAATGTTCCAATTAATTCAAATTGTGTGAACACAATTAGTCCAATTGATTTATCTACTTCAAAGAATGATAGTCCGGTGCAACCAATACTCAATTTCTTCCCATCAACTAATGGTAGAAGGTTTTCTGCTGTGTGGTATACATACAATTGGATTGAGTATTCTATTACTGAAGATTCAATTTATTGTTTTGCTTGTCGTCATTTTTTATCTCTTACGAACAACCCAGGAACTATAATAGGGAAAATACCATTTGTTAATTACGGTTTAAAATGCTGGAAAGAACCAAAAAAAACTTTAAATAGTCATTGTAAAAATAAGAAACATTTATTAAGTATGAGTCGTTGGGTGGATTATCGTAATATTCAACAAAATGTACAACAATCAATTGCTTGTAGTCTGAATAAAGCTAGACAAAAGGATATTCATGAAAACCGATTGCACGTTTATTTTTTGTTAAAATCTGCACTATTTCTTGCAAAACAAGGATTAGCCTTCCGTGGTCACAATGAGATGATTAGTTCAAATAACCGAGGTAATTACATTGAATTATTAGAAACATTTGCTGATGATAAACTTCTAGTTCGCTTACGTTCAAGATATGGGCATTATACAAGTCCCAGTTACCAGAATGATTTAATAAAGGTACTGGCTGAATGTACTAGAGAAAGTATTTTAAACAAAATGTCATTATTTGGTGCTTTTGCTATTCTTGTTGACGAAACCAAAGATGCTTCCAAAAAGGAACAATTAAGTTTTGTGTTGAGGTTTGTTGATAAAGATTTTGATGTTTATGAGCATGCACTAGGATGTTTTCATATGACAAATTCAACTGCTCAAAGTTTATCAGATGAAATAATAAAAATTGTAAGTGCAAATAAATTGGATATTAATAAATGTGTAGCTCAGTGCTATGATGGTGCAAGTGTCATGAGTGGTTGCTTCACTGGTGTTCAAGCAAGAATACAATCGATTGTTCCACACTCAATATACATTCATTGTTATGCACATCGTTTGAATCTCTGTTTAGTGCATACATTAAATAGTATTTCTGCTATAAGTGAATTTTTCCAAACAGTACAAGGGCTTTACAAGTTTATTATGAATAGTCAAAATCGCTATGAGCTATATGTTGAAGTACAAAAACAAAAAAAACAAGAAATAATTCATTTAGAAAGGTTAGTAGAAACTCGATGGGCCTATTGGTACAAATCATTAAAAAAAATCAATATTCGCTTTAAGGAAATTCGTGAAGTTCTCAATGTACTATCATTAAAAGGTGATGAAAAATCTAGAGTGATGGCAATAGGATATCTTGAAGAAATATCATCTCAGAAATTTATATCAATTCTGATTTCTATGGAATCTATACTGGAAATAGTTCACTGTGCATCAAATGAATTACAAAATAGTAAACTTTTACTTCCTTCTGCTATTCAACTAATAAATGTAACCAAACAAAATTTGTTGAATATACGTTCAAATGAAGTTTGGCAGAAACTTAAAAAAAAAATTGTAGTTAAAGCTAAAGAAAATGATATAGAACTAGACATTAAGAAGATCCAGAAAAGAAAGCAAGTTCTCAACCAGAACCTTCAAGATTATGTTGTTTCATCAACTGTGGGCAAAAATATTACAAAATGTACTTCTTTAGAAAGTTTGAAAACAAATATTTATTTTGAAGCAATTGACAGGTTAGTAAAACTATATTTAAATTATCATTCCTTTTCAATAATAATACATAAATAATTTCTAAATTAATTTTCAGATTTACAGTTGAATTAAATTCAAGATTTTCAAATGATGTATGTGATGTATTAATGGTAACAGAAATTTTTAATACTTCTAGTTTAGAATTTTTTAATCCAGATTCTATTTACTTAAAACGCTTTGTTGAACACTATAATTATTTCAAAATTGACAATATTCTTTTAACATCAGAATTTTTATGTGCTAAAACCTTATGCCTTTCAGAACACTATGAAAACTTAGATCTGTTTAAGATTTCGCATATACTCCACAAAGTTCAGAATGCTTTTCCTGAAACATTAAAAATAATTTCAATCTTAATGACTTTGCCAGCAACAACAGCTACAAATGAAAGATTTTTCTCATCTCTTAAAAGAGTAAAAAATTATTTAAGGTTAACCATGGGGGATGATAGATTGAGTGACCTTTTGGTTATTAATGTTGAAAGTACTGAAGCATCTAAAATAAATTTAGAAAAAGCTGTTGATAAATTTGCACATTTAAAAGAACGCCGTTATCCATTAACATTTTAATCTTATGATTATATTTTATATTATTTTTATTAAAAAATGTTAATTTTATATAATTATTTATAGCAATTACATTTTTTATTAAACAGCAGATTATTCATCTTAAAAGTATATAATGTATTTATGTATATTGTTAATTTTCTTGTTGTATTTTTTAAAAAAGTATATTATTATATTATTTATCAAGGTCAACACCTTGACCAAAAATCAACAGAATGACAAAATGGATGTATTTTGTCATAGTGTTTAGTATTTAGATGTGACTGTAAATACTGACAACGTTTGTAAATCAGTATTATAAGGTAGGTACCTATAACCTGTTTATTATTAATTTATACATAACTCAGTAATTCTCCTATTTGACTGTATTAAATATTAGACAAAACACAAAAATGTTTATATTTAATACTTAT